GAATTTAGATGATCGTCATGGCAGGCAAATAAAAGACATGTATGTTACCTTGTGGCTAATTAGCATATGATTTGTGATCGGTTCACACCGGGTTTGATTATAGACAAAATAAATTATTATTAGTTAGAACTAGGATAACATATTGTAGAATGTTTACTCATTCATTGATTTTGAATTTTACAAGCGTATGGCACATATATGAAAAGATTTTTTTTTAATATTGATTATTAATAGTTAATAGATGAAAGTGATCTTCACCACAAATCAGTGATTCCTTTTCCCTTTCCCGTTTATTATTTCAGTTGCTATTAAACACTTTTTTATGCATTTTTATGCATTTTCCTACACAAACTTTTACCATGTGTTCCGATCCTGTGCTTCAGCTTTCAGTTCCCTGCATTTTCTCTTCTCGCGTAAGTCATCAATCACCTACATTCTTCTCCTGGTTAATGTGAAGTGATTATAATTAATGTGAGCAATACAATACGAGAGTTTAATATATTTTGACGTATATACTCGTCATGAGGTCGATTCGGATGACACAAAACTGTACGTACTGTTCGATGTAAGCGCCACAGTTAACTGGTTAAGGAATAAACTTTGAGAATAAATCTATATTATTAAAATTGCGTGTATTGGTTTCTATAATAAATAGATTCTATCGTGCTAATTATATTACACTCAATTCCGTTGAATACCGGGTCAGAACTAATAAATCAATCAATTTTTTATGCTTTCAATAAATTATTTAAGTCCGAAGTACGAAATGTCAGCTGAATATCATTACTGAACATGTTAATGATTTATATCGTTTAATGATAGATTACATTTTTTTAGCTAATTTATAAGGCATTTTGCTTGAATGACCTGTTCATGATCTTAATAGAATTCAATATTATGACTGTAACAGAAAATCGTGAATAATAATATTTTGCCAAGTAACCATATTTTTTGGCCTAATTCTGTCGTAAAATAGACCAATGTTATGGCAAGGAATGTAAACAAAATTTATACTTATTGTTAAAATCTCTATAAAATATCTGATAATTTGATGTGCATATGTCTAATGATCATTTTTGACCGCCAAATGGCGTTTTTTTACTTTTTTTACTAGATCTCCGAAACCGCTAGAACTGTCTTCATGAAAAATTAATCAGCACGTCTCCTTATCAATACGAATCGAATTTTTTTTGAATTATTCAAATCGCTTCATCCGTATTCCCGAAATCGTCGACGAAAATTTGTATCCGAACACACACAATTACACGCACGCACGCACAGACACATACATCCATTTTTTTCTGAGGTATGTCAAAATGTTCAGAACTTTTTGAAACGTAAAGATATATAAAAATTTTCATTTTCGATTTTTTGGGATTACTATAACTTGTCCTACGAGAAGTTAAAAAGTCAATTATATGAATTGGCACATTTATTTATAAACAGTATGTTTACTATACATATCGAGTTTGGGGGCGTTCATTAATCACGTGAGGTTTTTAGGGGGAGAGGGGGGGTTTGACAAAAAATCACGAAATATCGCGTGGGGGAGGGAGGGGTATAGTAAGACATCACGTGTATTTATTCTTTACCTAAATTTTAAAAAAAATCCAAATATTTATATTTCACGTGTATTTATTTATAAAAAACTTTTCAAAAAAAATCAAAAATTTTACAGTTTTATCACGTAACTAAAAAATACACGTGATGTTCGTTGGGGGAGTGGGGGTTATTTTGAATATCACCAAATATCACCAAGGGGGAGGGGGGGTCCAAAAATCCTTAAAAACTCGCTCAAGGGATTAATGGACGCCCCCTATAGTGCATGAAAATAGAAATTGCCCTTCTTGATTGATCCCTCAGGTACTCTTAAGTTTCTGATACTAAATGGCCTAATATCTTCGTTCAACACTTTTAGTCTCATCTATTTTTTCAAGTTCTTATATTTTTTCTTAATGAATATATTATCTCTGCTGCAATTATCAAGCTAATATCTAGGAATAATAATTTTTTATAGTGGATATCTTGTGAATCCATCTATCTATTATGATGGGCACCTTGTGAATCAAATCCACATTACCAGTCTGCACTTGTTGCATGATCATTACACATAACTAATTTGCTATTAAGTATTCCTAAGATTCTTTTACCAGATGGCCCAATTTCCTCGGTCAACCTTTTTAGTCTTATCTATAAAGACGAAGTGATCAAAATACATTTCGAAACCATTAAATTGATCCACTTCATTTGACGAACGCAACCTTGACGTTCCTAACATTTTATATGGTCGGATAGTTCCCTTTTATGTCTCATAATAATCTCCAATGTTGATGATATAATATCAGATAACGTGGGAGTGGTCTGAATTCGCAGTGAATATCTGAGACGATGACCTGCAAACCGCTCCTAGAAGTCTAGATTGATAAATAAATGTATCGAATACTATTTTTGTATAGGAAACGTTTTAAATCACTGCTAAAAGATTCCTGTTAGCTTAGTGGCGGCCCCTCCGTGGCTTAGTAGTCAGAGCTTTGGCTTTCCATCCAGAAGGTTTTAGGTTCTACTGATGTCAAGCAGTACTGACTAGAAAATAAAGAGAAAACTTGTTTCCAAGTGAAAATAATCATTCGCCAATGTTGTTGCATACAATTTAAAATTGTCACAATCATGGAACAATTTAGGTTACCTTCCAAAATGCTATGTAGTTCAGAAATATCATTGTAACAGCTTCTAAGTCTCTTAAATTCTGATTGCTCTTTAAATACAAAAAACATCATATAATTAAGGGGCCGTTCAAGTATTACGTAGGCACTATAGGGGAGCGGGGGGTTGTTGATTTGCTTATTTTGGTTTGACATGGGGGGCAGTGGAGCCTGGATGATGATTACGTCATAGGTAGAAGTTTTATTTTTTTACATTAATTGCAAAATGTTTACGTAAGCATGGGGGTAGGGGGTAAGAGCTTTGCTTACTTTTGCTGACAAAGGGGTTGGGGGGGGGGTAAATAATTGTAATAAATCTGCTTACGTAATACTTGAACGATCTTTAATCAACTCTTTTAAAGTATGTTTAAAATTAAGATTTTGATTCTGTAGTTAACAATAAATAAATAAATCTAAATAATAGCTACTTAACCAAATTGTGTTTGTTTCTTTTGATCATAATATTTTTAGTATAATTTAAATTGCTAAAAAGTGCTATAGTTATTTACCAAGTTTCTGGTGACAGTACATTTTTTATACAAGTATTACAATTTGCAGAATTTTTTTCACAATCTCCATTTATAAAATTTCATTCCGAGTTCCTACTAATTCATTGCCACACCTTCAGATTTATATAGATAACGATAATTTGATCAAATGGAAGGTGATTTAGTTAATCACACAAATCACATTAAAAGCATAGTTTCGAGTAATTTAATTAGTTTTTTCGTGTTTCATTGAATTAGAAATATATAACTTGCGATGGTAGATGTAGTTTTTTCATACAATGGTACAATAATAATATTGGAAAGAACTCTTAACAAGTATTTAATGATATACTTTATTATGTATTTCAATATGTGCATGCGTAATTTTTTTTTACAATGATTTAAATTCATTGAAAAATTAACATGCCGGCTGCCAACTACAAATTATCTCATAGATGTAAAGTATTTCATTGATTGTGAACTACATTTATTTTAAAATTTATATGAAAATTAGAAATAGAATTTGTATGTAAAATAATTATAAGTATATTTAAATCGAGTTGTTATTTTAGGGTATATTGGTTTAAATTGCCACGGCAGTCAACGTATTAAAAATTGTTTTTGAAGAAGTTGCATATTTTTTTAGTTTGTCACAATATTAATTTAACAACTTCTGTCTAACTTCCCCTAATGTAATTAATCATTCGAGCGAATGAATAAAAATAATCACCTAACAAAAATTGATAAAATATTAATAACAATTATTTGAAATATTTTCAAATAGATATTTAAACCAAACAAATCTGCTTTAAGACATAATGCCAAGACCCATTAATCAGCTTTTTAAATGTACACCCATTGAATTAGAAGAAAGTCAAATCTCTTTTAGAGCATGAGAAAGATCAAAATTGTTGTTTTAGTCTATGAAATAAATTTTTCAACAAATATTTTATTGATTTTATTGAACACATTTTTTCAAATTTACATGAAAATTAGAAATAGAATTTTTAATCTAACATAATTAAATCGAGTTGTTATTTTAGGGTAGATGGTTTTAAATTGCCACGGCAGTCAACGTGTTAATATACATCATCGAATAAATTATATATTTTTTAAATTTGTATAAGTTTGAGTATCGGTTTAGCAACTTCTGTCTAGCCGATGCAATTTTTAATTCAAAACTAGTGGTTCATGGTAATTAAAATGATCAAATATTAATAACAATTACTTACAAATAAATATTAAAATCAAACAAATCTGTATTAGGCATAATGCCATGCTTCATCAATCAATTTTTTAAATGTACATCTATTAAATTTGAAAAAAAGCCAAATCTCTTTTAGTGCACGAGGAAGGCCAAAAGTGTTATTTTATAAATCTTTTTAAATTTGCATGTAAAATTTTCCCAATAAAGCTAATACAAAAAAATTAAAATAAATAGCAATTAACATAAAATTCAAAATCCTTTAACATTTTTTGTAAACTCCATGAGAACGATTTTAATATATATTTTATTTACATAATATTCATTTATTAAAACATTGACCGATCATTTGCAAGCCCTTGCTATTTGCTCACAAAATACCATCTAATACCATCTACCAAGTTGCAAAGTGTTTACAAAACAATATCATAGATAGGATTTCAAATCAGGTACACCAACCAACTCGATAATCGATATTATGATGCAACTTCAGTTGGTACATATGACAACCGAGGTTCCTATCTATGCAATACAGCATTGTTGGTCTATGGAAAAAGAAATTGTAACAAAAATCGAGCTCTCGAGCTCATTCGGTTGCTACATTTGGTAGGCAGCGCATCAGGGCTTCTCGACCCGGGCACTACTCGCCCGGGTCGAAAACGTTCCATGTTAGAGATGTCTGAAAAATGGGGACAGTTTTGTGCTAGTGGTATTAAAGTTTGTGTTCGGGTTCTTCATAAGTGATAAATGACTGTTGTATTTTATTTTGGTTGTTATTATATAACATTCAGGTAACATATATTTAATTTTATTATAATTATTTCTTTATTATATATATACATATATATATATGTGTATATATATATATATATATATATATATATATATTATATCAGTGGATTGTTATGAGTTCGTTGATTCGCCCTTTATTAATGGTATTAAATCACGCCATTGTTCCGCGTCCCAGAGAATATTGCTTTATCGGTATCGGTTTATATACGCAGAAGACGGTTTTTACAATGTAAGTAAAATGTATCGTGTTTCATGCAATAACATTAGCAGATGCTGGCAGCATAGTAGCTTTAAATTAGCAGTCAGCCGTACCCACAGGTTGTATAAACATCAAATAAGGCGTTTAATGTGGAAACAATAAATCATATGTACCACGCCATATTTTGCGCGCCTTTTTTATTGCCTTGCGTTCATCTGTGGAACGAGAAACGGTGTTGTAAAATAACTGAAAAGTTGGATAACGGAGTCTTTAATTTTGTGATGGTAGTCAATGGTATTTACTATACATTAAATAGTAGCATGTTGGCTTACTTTGTCGTAAAGAATTAAAAATTCAATTAAGTTTTAATTTGTTCGCCTTCTTTATTTCTGCTTTTTTTACTTCGTTACAAATACACTTTTACTCATACTTTGTCATTTTTGATAGAATGACTGAATTTAAGTTATTATTACTATTATTGTGATTCCGGCGCATTTTTCTGTTATTTAATAATGCATTTAAATGCAAGCGTCGGTCACATATGGAACCGAAAATTATTGTTCAGAAAATGACACATTTTAACTAAACTCTTTTTTTACAAAAAAAGAGTGCGTTTTTTATTTTTTTTTACTTTGTTATAAACACATTTTTACTAAAATTTTATCATCTTTGATAGAATGACTAAATTTATTATTTAAGTTATTATTTTTTTTTTTTTAATTTTTACTACTATATTTACAACTGTCCAGTCAAGGCTTTTCTTGAGGAATTTTTAGGGAAGCAAATCAATATTCAATCGAAACGAAACCTCCAGGTTTTGTTGCTATATGTTTCAACATTCTTCTCAATTTTTTTTAGTAAAATATATGTCATAATTTGCCGGGTACAAGCGTTTTGCCGATGTGCCACGAGCGTGCAGGTGTCATTTGGCGGGAATGATACAGGTCACAATTCAGCCATCCGAAACAAATACGTCAAAATAAATATATATTTTTAATAGTTTTTAAACCTCATTAATTATATTTTTCTTGATTAAAAATAAGTCGAATTTAGTTTTTACAAATTGCGGTATATTATATATGCCATAAAATAGATCACCGACAATTATTGGTGCTATACATATCTCTCAACTCGGGGTTTTTTTGTATCGGATTTTGAAATGAACTTCATTGTGATTTAATTTCAGAAATATGAAAAAAATCACATGTTGTAAGTTTAGTTCACGCCGGAGCGGCGGCATCCGAGCGCAACGGTAAAATGACCATGCCGCCGGAGCGGCGGCATCCGAGTCGAAAGGGTTGATTATATTGTTTTATTTGTAAATGAAGTTTTTATTAAATTTTGTTGACATTTTACAGTCATTTAAACATGAATAAAAATGCGATGTTGCAGTAGCAGTTCCAACAAATAAGCATTAAGAGTTTCGATTTGTGAACGCTTATTTTTAAATATTTTCTCATATCATGAAAATCATTTTTATTATTCATAGTAGGGCTTGCCTGTGGGTATGTGGTTAGAGCTACGGGATTTGGATCAGAATTCCAAAGTTTGATACCCTGAAAATTTTAATTTTGGAATTATATATTGCATATATGCATAATTTTATAAGAATGAGCTCCCCTAGAACTCTGGACTTCGATTCAAAAGTTTCAGGTATATACGATATACGTTTCGGGCAGCCTGATGTCAAGCAGTAGTTGCATTGGTTTTAGCTTGGAAAAATATAGATCAAAACAGTTATTACTCGGCATATAAAATCAAATTTCTTGAGATGATTTTTAAATACTGCTTCGACACGTTTGCGGACGTGAATGCTATAACATTCATTTTTATTGTGATGCAGAATGAATGGTATAGCATTCAAATTTTATTAGTCAATTCTTTTGAATTTACTTATATATAACCTTACGTTTTTATAATTATTACACCTATCGAGGTAGTATCTGATTCTTCAGGTATTTTTATATTATCTTTTTATTTGGTAAATATTTAGCTCGAGCAAGCAACTTGTTTAAATGGTAGCGTAATACTTGACGTGGATGCTATAGCATTCATTGTATATAACGATTAAAATATGATACTCTGACTAGCCTCATAAACGGTGTTTAATCAAATTTTGGATATCACAACTAATTTTTTAAAAATTAAATAACTGTCAATTTTTGTTCCTTGCTTGTTTCTTATGTTAATCCGCTGCAAGCTGCAAACCATTTATAATGTTTCTACTTATCTATATATTATTATTATATCTGTGTAAAATGAGGAAAACTGTACATTACTATAAATTTATCACTACGACTATTTCACGCATTGCATTGACATTTCACGAAGCAATTTTCTTCTCCATTTGAAATGCTAATATACATGCCAAGAGCTCACGAACGAAGTTGCTGAAGACCGTTCGTTCTCACATAATGCAAAGAATATATTTTCATATTTTAATCGTAGCTTTTCATTAATCTAAATATAATCACAATCAGGCACGATAAGCATTCATTAGAAATTAACGGACTGTAAATCCCTTTTGAATTGATAATGTGATGCCGACGCATTTTTCTCTGTTATGTAATAATAATAAATGGATTTTAATGCAAGCCAGTAGTATATGGAACGGAGATTTATTGTTCAGAAAATGACCTTATGGTAAAATATTTTTTTATAAAAAAATATATTTAAATTCTTATAAATGATTCTTTAAATCTAAATTTTTATAGACAAAATATTTGATTTTATTTTTTCTATTTATTTATATTGCTATAAGCTCGGAATATCAAAATTTTTAGAGTCATTGCATAATTTTAACAGTATGTACAGTTATTACACAATTTTAGTTATGTTGAACATACTCATTCATACAACCATACATATATATACCTATAACTTTTTCTTTTTATTTAATTTATTTTAATTAATAACCTTCCAGATGTTTTTGTATATTTTGTTTGGTAAAAAAACTAATCTTTTTTATAAGGTTTTCATACATATTGCTTCGATAAATGCAACATTCAAATTTTTTTTTATTCAAAATTTAAATGAATTTTGAACCATAGAGGAATATAATTTGTTCAAAATAAATGTGTACAGATTGCTCACAAATTATGAATGGGGTAAATGATGTAATTTAATCATTTTTTTTAACAATTTGTCATTTGATTAGTTAATATTTTATAAATTTACTAATTGAGAATAATTTTTTACTTATAAATATAAATAATTGTAAATTTTCATGCAAGATTTCTATATTTTATATAAATTCTTATTTATTATAGTTGTACTTTGTACTGATATTTTTGTTGAAAATTTAGCTACTCATAAGCAAATTTATTTGTAGTTTTAAGAACAACACACTAAATAAATAAACTGAAATAAAGTTTAAAAATTATAAATAGGTATATTTTTGGGGTATAACTAACTTTATTTCTGTCCCATTAATAGAATTCACGTATTGTACCAATATTAAACATCATTGTAGCTCTTCGTTTTCAAGATATTTAACCTTCTAGTTTTTTTATATGTGTTGTTTGTTGCAAAAATTACTTTTTTCTATAAAATTTTTATACATATTTTCTCGATAAATGCATCATTCAATATATGAATGAATTTTGAACAAAAACATTTTTTTATTTTTTTTTTATATTCATTCCATATTATATAACAATCAGAGTTGCAACCAAAGCATTGATGAATATAACTTCGTCAAAATATGTATGTATAGACTGCCTGTTTAAACAATCATTAATACATTATCAACGATAATACATGGATTATTTCCATTAATTAAAAAATTAAATTTATATTAAAATAGTTAGCATTAGAGGCATATCAGCCTCTTGATTTTTCAGTGCATAAATATAAAATGAGTTACAAATAATTACTGTAAATTGCAATCAAGTGCACGCACCTTTAGTTCAGACTATGATTTCTTAGAGCACTAATTAGTATTATTATATAACATAAATAGAATAATTATATTTTTGTTTACATAGAGGTTTTGCAAATTAGATTTAGACAAATAGTGCGATCAATTTGTTTTTAAAGTTGTATGTATAATCCCAGAATCTATATAAAATATAAAAATTTCTGTAAGAATATTTGCAATTATTTATATTGGCAAGAAAAAATAATTCACAATTAGAAAATTGATTAAATATTATCTAATCAAATGATAAATTAATTAATAAAAAAAAATATTTTATTAAAACACACCATTTACCGAATTTTACGTTATTTGCGCCAGTTTTTAACTAAAAATAGTAAATTTAACTCGGTCGCAGACATGGGTGCTATAGCATTCGTTTTTTTATGATGCAATATGTCATGAATGTTATAGCATTCAAATTGAAATTGAAATCGAAATCGAATTTTATATAAACTTACGGTTATGTAATTATTATACCTGTCAAGGTAATGACTGATTCTTTAGGTATTTTCGTATTATTTTCTACCGTAATCACTAATTAGCTTGGAAAAATAAATTGCGTACAATAGAAGCGTAATACTTGACGTGGATGCTATAGAATTCATCGTATATGACTATTAAAATATGATAATCTGACTACCATTATAAATGGGGTTTAATTAAATCGCATATCACAACCAATTTAAAATCAAAATGACAAATCTTTTGGTGGATAATTTTAAGTTTTTTTTTTAAGTTTTTGAATAGGTTATAATGGATACGTTCCTGATTCGTTACACAAAAACATTTGTGTTGCACAATACACGAGTATGGCATTATTTAATTAGTTCAAATAATATTTACCAATTGGTAAATAGAGCAGCTCGTTGCTAACAGTTTGATCAAATATAGGAGATGTTCTCAATTTGTTTGTCTTATGTGACGCTGATGTTGAGTATAAATATGTTGTATCTCTTAATTCCAAACATGTCGAGATAATATTTATACAATGTTGTTTATATATTTTAACTTATCAATGATTTGCACGAATCATTTTCTTAAGGACATAGTACAAAAATTTAAATTTATGCACGCAGAATATCAACACGCATGCGGCTTAAATTTCAACCTTGAAATTTAAATATGCGCAACAATACTGAATTATTTACTATTTCCGCATCTACTATTCAGCATCACAAATTATGAATGGAGCTAAGTGGCCATATATTTTATATAAAAAATATTCAATGAAATATATAATATTTCATTATAATTTTCTATTAAATTTTGCAGAAAGTTTTGGAATAATGGTCGCCCCGCCTTATTGTTTGTCCAAGAAATTTGTACAATTCACCTAATATACCCAATAACTAGTAGTATTCGGTAATAAATAAGTTTCCGACTTCGCTTTTATGACCATTGAGTACTATTTTCACTTTCAATCATATATTTGCGAGAGTGCTAATTTTGAAAATTATTTGCAACCGTTAATGAGTGTTTGAGCATCTGGTTTCCAATCTGTGAGACATGTGCTCTGAGGGGGAGCTCATCAAAACACGAAAATTTATCAAAAATGCTGAAATGATATGAAAAATTAATCAATAAATAACTATTTTTCAATGTATATTTTTTACATAATATTTTGTAATAATTGACCAATTTTCAAAATGATTTGCAACCTTTAATGAGTGTTTTTAAGCATTTGGCTTCCAATCTGTGAGACATACCCCTGAGGGAGAAATGCCCCTCAAAATACTTCTTTCGGTAATATATCAAAAATGTTGAAATGATATGAAAAATTAATGAGTAAATAATTATTTTTTCTATATATTTTTACATAATATTTTATATAAATTTGTAGCCTGATAAATAAAATATGATATTAGTTGAGAAATTTACAAATTTAGATTGTTAGCAAAATTAAGGGGCGCACAATATTTTTTTCTAAGAACTGTGAGGCTTGGTACGAAAAGGTTGGAAACCACTGAATTAATCATTAACTAAAAGTTTTTGTTTTTTGTTTTTTATTAGATTATTATTACATTTTATTAGACATTTATGTGAATAAAATACATTCTATAAATTTACATCATAAATATCATATCTTCATTTGAAGATAACAAAACAATTATTTAAACTATAGTAAATTCACATAACTATTACTTTAAATCTAAATAATATTATGTGGCAAAAATATCACAAAAACCACAAAATTAACTAGCAGTATTTGGTATTTATAAATACATCTGACTTTGCTTTTAAAAGATAATTGGGTCGTATTTTCACTTTCAATCTTGTCTTGGCGAAAGTGCTAATTTGGAAAATTATTAGCAAGCTCTAGAATTATGAGTACTATTTATATCGCTTTCCATTTATATATATATTAAATAATAAATGCATTACATATTTATATTAACAACTGACAAAAAATTTCAAACTCCTGTATGTAATAATTAAATTTAACTTTTACTTTCAAATACAATTTATTAATTTATATTTTCTGTTCTTTACAGATTGTGTTTTATAATGGAGCTCAGCTAGTTTCTCAAATGGAGTTGTGCTATGGTGAGTCTTTAACACGTTTTATTTTGCATGTTTTAGTCATAAAATATTTCATTAATACGTTTATTGCAATTAATTGCAATCAACTCTCAATTGCGTAAATATGATCCACATCTTCGTTGTAAAAACACATCAGGTTATGTAACACAGTAATTACAGAAATTATAATTTAGTATTATACGTATACAATCGGTAGGTGAATTCTGAAGCCTTTATTATAGGAAATTTATTTATTATTGAAGCCATCGGTATTTTATTGCCATTGAGGTCAATCCGCTTTATGCAATTGTACATAAAACCAACTGAGAACTTCCTGCAATGTATTTTATATAACATAAGTAGAATTGCGTCGCAATGTTTAGTTTCTTGTCCCAATGATAAAATTGCATATCGAATTATTTAGAACCGATAGGAAAACACGTCAAATATTTTTGCCTTTAATAGCTCACACGCGCTTAGAGATTTGCTTTAGGCTGGGGTTACATAGAAATCGTTTGATAATTGATCAGATATATATACTATCTATATATACGATAGGTTTTTTTTTTTCAATAGCGAAGAAAATGCATTTACGCAAACCACACTAAGATTAAAATTTCAAATTTAAATTTAAGGTATAATTATCATATATTATATACTGACTTCTTTCATAAATGTGCGAACCCTGTTTGATGATGGCATCGATTCCAAATCATTTCGTGCGTACTTACATATATTTGTTTACAGTTTATTCAAGAGTTTTATGTCCAATAGTCAAGAAATACCGTTCTCAATGTTTTACTTACTAAATGCGCAGATTTGTAAACCGGTAAAGCAAGGCCATTTGTAGAGCAAGAACTGTCTCCGGAATTTTTCACAGATGCGGTTACTCCAGTTAACCGATTACTATACAACTACATATTTAAATTGATATTGATTTTGTTGGCGTCGAATCAATCGATTGTACTTGAATTGGTTTGGTCACAATTAATGGCTGTCTGATGTTTTTTTTTATTGGAGATATTAAGCGAAGTGCAATGATAGAAGATAATGTTGTTCTATTTTTCTTGGATGCATTAATCAAAATTTGGCATGGATGTACTGTTACAGTCTTATGCAATACAATCATACAACGCATTTTTTGTGGTGATTATTAGTTGTAAAATTGAACTATTCCTAGCAATACAATCATACAACGTTTTTTTGTGATGATTATTAGTTATAAAATTGAACTATTTCTATAATAGGCTTTAAAGTTTTGCAACTTTAAGGAGTTACTTATGAAACTGATTAGCATGACCTATGGTTCAACCAAATTTTTTTATGAGAACTGCTAAACTCTTGCCCCTAATGTTTTTGTACCAATATAATTCCGAAAATCAATTTACATAAACATTATCTTTTACCTTTTGCAATTGACAGAAAATCTGCGGTAAAACAACTTTCTGCATAATTTGAAAAAATATTAAATTAACATTTATTCTCGACCTCACTCTCAGCTTTCTTAACTGACTAGTTAGCAACTGCAAACAAAATAGAAAAATAGAAAAACTTTGTGACGTTAATGATGTGTTTACGTTTATTATTTAGCAGAAATCTTAATGAAACAAATAGAATTATGAATTCAATTATGAAGCGTGATAACAATGCTAACAAATATTGTTTGTATTTTTTTTACTGATAAGAATCAGTGTACTGTTGTGTATCGAAAGCAAATTTAATCAAGATTGTTAATCAATTTGTTTGGCGTAGATTAATTAATTAATAATGGTGGTATTTTTAAATGAAACATGTATTGTGTCACATACTAACTTCATGTAGGGTAACTTATTGTAACCGGCCAAAAATCGAAATTAAAAATTACTGCACATCTTTACGTTTCAAAGCTTTTTGAACATTTTTGGCGTACGGAATAATAGATTTGAATGATTCAAGCAATCGATTCCTATTGATAGGGAGATGTACTGATTAGTTTTTGGCAAAAGTTGGTCCATTCGTTTCAGAGGGGCTAATGTGCAAAAAATGGCAGTTTTTGAGAGTACTAAGCATCCGACTTCAATGATTTAAAGAACTTTCTGCTTGTATTGACAAAACGATTGCTTTTGAAAAAAAAAAAATTTTTATTTCTAATTTCTAATTTTTTTTAATATCGAAAATAAATTTTTAATTCTAGCTAAATTAAACATCACTTATATACTTTAAATAGTTGATTTCAACTTTGCAATTCAGTTTATATAATTCTCATAAATATTACAATGTCCTTCATTTTGATTCCGATTAATATAGTTATAGGAAAAATCACAGTATTTATAATAATATATTTTAAAACATTCAATATTCCTCGAATATTTTATTATATACCATAATAAAGTTCCAGCAATTTGCCTTAAGTCACGATGCCATACACTACTAGTTTGAACCTTGCTTTAACCAGTTAAGTGTGATTGACGAATATACTCGTCATGGAGACGTGACAGAATTTTTTGTGTATGACGAGTAAGTCAAAACCGGGACGGCGATTTTTAATTATGCTAACACTATATTAATTATATTATTATAACTCATATTTTTATATTTATGTTTTTTTGCTTCTGAGTCTTTCGGAAATTTCTCTTTCATAAAGTATTGATTCATAAAAGCAGGCTCGTTGTTTTGTAATGTAATATATATATAGCATATTCGGACATTTGGTGGGTAGCTGTATTTTTATCTAGTAATTGCTAAGACTCAATTTAAACCTATAGTTTTCGAAAACCGAAGGGACAAATATTGCTGCCCTGGCCAAACAGGGACCTATTTACAAAAACAGTATTCTAATTATGGAAATATCAAATTAATTTTTTTTTTTTTTTAATTTTTATTTGGCTTCGCTTACTCTGAGCATTTAGCCACCTACAATATTTTTATTTGTTTACATTTTAATTTTTATATAATTTTCAATCTATTTATGTATCCTATTCTATATTCTTCATTTTTCTTCTTATTTTCTTCAATTCTTGCTCTTTTTCAAATTTCTAATTCTATTTAACTTTCAGCTTCATTCCATTTTTTTCTTCATTCTTCTTTCTAGTTCCAGTATTTCTCTTCTTACTCCTAATTCAATTCAATTTTTCGAACTCTGTTATTTCTATTTTTCTTAATTTTTATTCAATAATTAATTCGTTATCATTTGAATGACGTAGAAGTCTTATTTTTTCATTTCTCAATAAATCTGACGACCCAATGTTTGAAAATCTGTGTCGGCGTCGTCCAGTCCATTATTGCGTTACCAATGTTACCATGAATGGACGGATGGTGGATAGAAGCCTTTTATCCGTTCTGGAATGCAGTGTAGTGGAAAAGAATAAAACACGGCAAAAAAGAACAAAGAACGACACAATGACAATCGAATCAAAAGCCACAACTCGATATGAAACCAGTGCAAATCGCTCTTTGCACTGTAGCGAAAGTGTGATGACTTCTTGTTCTTATTTATCAGCTATGATGGTGGAATTTCAGTAAAGGGATTTTGAGATAATGAACACAAAATACGCTGATGTATTATGCTATTTATTAGCTAGATTAGATTTATCTGCATTTCTGAATCTGTTTGGAGGTCAGAATCTTTCTAAAAATTTAATTTGTTACACATTTAGATAGTTTTAGGTCACTTAGGTAACATCAACTTTAGGCACGATACACGTTTTGTTAGAAAACTCTGGAACCAATTATCTATAGGATAATAAAAAAAAATCTATAGCATAGATAAAGGAAAATTACGGGTCTATAGTGTGAGTTAAATCATTATCGAACAATTAAGAAAATAATTAGATTATCAAATCTAAATTTACAAATTTGAGTAATTAGTTTTTGGAATGGCTGGTCCAGCTGGTTCGGAGATACGAGGCATAAAATGGAAAGAAAGTTTTTGAAAGAGTAGAGCATCCGATTTGAATGATTCAAGAGATGAGCTAAAAGTGTAAAAAATTGCATTCTTTGAAAGAACAAAGCATCCGATTCAAAAAACATGCTTGTGAAGAAACCATATTGGTTTTTGGAAAAGGCATTTTTTAAAATTCTATTTTGTTCCAATTTCAATTTTTTTTTTAAATATCAAAAATGTTTCGGATTTTAATTTTAATATTATTTATATATTATTATTCACTTATATACTTCAAATAAATAATTTTCATTTTGCAATTCAGTTTATATAATTTTTAGAAATATGTTCCTTTATTCCAAGTCCGCTTGGTCAAGTTGTGTTTGTTTACTTTTCATGTAAACTTTTATTAACGTCTATTTTATAGGCTTTTATATTTTGTCTATAAAATATGAATCATAAAAAGTATTTTATAATAATTTATTTGGAAGAATTTAATATTTTTCGAATGTTTCATTACGGCACGGTTCCAGCAATTTGCCTTAAGGCACAATACCATGCACTACTAGTTGAAATTGAAATCATAGTAAAAAAAATCAATTTCAAATCAAGCAGTCTTAAAAAAAGTTCTCAGAGATGAGGCAAAGACATTTTCTAGTGAATTTAGCAATTTGTTAATTGAGATAAGGTGACCATTCGTCCCGGTTTGACCGGGATAGTCCCGGATTTACATCTCATGTCTTCGGTTTTTCTAAAAGCAATATTTGTCCCGAATTTAGATCTTTTGTCCTAGATTGTCCTGGCTTTTCGAGAAGTATAGATTTAAATTGAGTCTTTGCGATTACTTAATAATATGATAACTACCTTTAAAATATTTGAAAATGATATATGCTATGAGTATGCTTATATGAAACAATATGTTATGAACAAGAAAATTTCCAAATACAAATTTCCAAAGGCGTGATAAAACAGCCTCTCACATTAATAAATTCTAACTTTTCAAAATTAGAAAAACTAACATTTTGACTACCAGGCAGAAGTGCTAGTTTTTCAAGTTAGTTGTGAAGAGAATAGAACAGAATTTTATACAAAAACTTGGATCGAAAAATATAAGATAATATCATAGGTAAATGAAGTGTATACTTAGCATATAATTGAATAGTGA